GGTGTAGCTGCCGTCGTTGCTGAGATGAGGGCCTATGACGTCATATAAACATTGAGTGAAAATCTTCACTCAAAGTAGCTCAACACAGGCGCTGAAGAAGCTTGAATGGCACGTGTGGGTGTGCCTCTGTGCTGTATCCTGTAGTGCGCCTTTACAGTTCTAATGCATGAGAAAGCAGAGAGTTTCGTCGATTATCTACGTGAGGCAATTTCTGAATTAATAGGGTGGAACGAACGCTATAAAAGAACATATAGGATAATTGAGAGTTGAGGAACAGATTAAGCTTTTCCATTTGTCTTTTTCCCGGGTCATTGATGAGTAGCGAAGATATCTACCGATGACGTCAGTAGTAGTCGAAGATGATCTCAGCCACCAGAATAGCCAGAAATATACCACGTCAAATACTTCTTTAAATTGTCACAAGATATATTATCAGATTATAATCAAATAGGCCAACTTCTACAATTTGTGCTATTTGGTACCCCTCAAAGCTTCATAGTGATTACCATTGACATGACAGATAGCAATCAGTTGTTCACCCCTATATCTGAATGTTTTGATGGACTTGGTACTGCCACTCGTTGAAAGAACTACGATGTTGGTACGGCAAGCCAGGGCTGCGTTTATAAGAACATATTCGTCTCCATGGGTTCCTTCTTTCCGCATTTTACGGAGATAATCTACCCAAGTCGAGCAATCCAACATCTCAGCGTTTTCTTGGCCTACTCTCCCTTCGATATTTTTTGCCATGTAGTCCACAACCAGCTTTCTGATATCATCATGCTTTTCCTGATCATCATAAAGAGCAAATGATATAGCTCTAAACATACAATTCCCATCACCAACAATGTAACCATCAGTCCTAATGTAGTGGTTAGGTATTTGATGATGTACTGCTCCTTCTGGAAAATTGCTGTCCAATATGTTTTTCCAAAAGGTGCGGACCATGTATTTTGGCCCCTCTTGCATTTCATCATTTACCTGCTCTATAGATGTAGCTTGAGCTGGAGCATTTGTTGGTGCTTCAACCTCACCTTCAGACTGAGCGCACTGATGGGATCCTGCACTGTTCGATTCTACACTCTCAGGAACATGCGATTGAGAAGATTCTACCTCCAAAAACATCCTTTTTCGAAGTTCAGGACTACCTTCTGAGCTGTCAGAAGATATCTCAATGACAGACCTTTCTCGATCACGTTCAGGCGTATCGAATGGGTATGATGGACTGTCAGAATTTATTTCGATGACAGACCTATCTCGATGGGTTTCAGGTGCGTCGAATGAACGTGATAAATTGTCAGAATCTCTTTCCACAATGAATTTCTTATGAGGAGGTTCAGGTGAATCGTGTATAGATGAACAGCTTGAACCCGGTGAACAATGAGAAGATTGACAAATTGAATCTGCTGAATCTTCAGAGGATGTTTCCGCAATAAATCTCTTTCGAGGCTCAGGTGAGGTGTCGTATAAAGATGGACAGCTACTTGAATCAGATGTACAGCTGCCTAGATCGGATGGACAGCTACTTGAATTGAATGAGTCCCGTCGAACAGGTGACGTGGGTCGCGGTGAGCAATTAGCCTCTCTAGTAGCTTCTATGGCATCTTGAAAGTATTCCTTATCTTCTCCATTTAGAAGCTCATTCCACATAATAGTACTTTTTTTCTTTCCCATTCGTTCAGAACAGTTCCCACACTTCATAGTGAAGTTTTTTGTCCTTCCACCAACATTGAACGTGTCTATTCCATCACAATTTGGGCATTTGAGTCTACTTTTCACGAACATGAAAAAAGCTTTACAATTTGCAGTTTCACTAAAGAAAACATCACTGACGAATCTGATACTCTTTTCGAACTCCCGGTTCGTGATATGATCGTTCCACCAAGCGTTAACATCGTTGTGTTTAGTAAGTTTTCTTCTGGAGTTGTTCCAACCGACAGACTGCCAAATATCTGCTTCCACCTTATTCTTTTCATTTGATGCTTTAGCAGAACTAGAACCTTTCAGTAGATTAAAATCTTGTACTTTACTTATCAATCTTTGTGCATTGGCGATGTATGCAGACCTTGGAAGCTCAGTTAATTCATATCGTTGATCATATGTCTGACTGTCAAGGAGCCTGTGAATCAAGGCTATCTCTAAAGCCCACGTTAAATTAGTCGCCCGTATTGTGGCTTCAATGCGAAAGCCTTGAAGGACGTCATCAGGTTTGTTGCAGATTTTGTCAAAGGTTCCTTTAGCCGAGTTATATCTACCTTTCATTACCATAACAGTCCTTGCGTTGAATAAAGAAGGCTTGACTCCGATTGATCTGATAACATGGGCTACTTTTGAGTACATCTTAGTCTCTACTATTTGGTGTTCAAGTGCAAGAGCGTTAACGAATTTGTGCGAAATTTTTGTCTGCAAACGGACGGTACCATAGCCTTTGGCAGCTGGACTGCAGATGGGAAATGTCTTCGTGAGCGGCCCTACCCCTTTAAGGAGAGATAGACCTGCGATGTCTTGTTTTTCAGTGACACCGACATCGAAGAAATTAGTGAATCGGAGTGGATGCGACGAATGAAAAGTATAAAGCTCACTTAAGAGACGGATAGGAGCTTTCAAATTATAAACTCGAATTCTAACAGCATCACAATCTATCGCCGTCAAGCAATGGACAAGAACGCCCATCACAGTAACTTGGTTTCCTTTAATGAGGACGTACTTATACTGAGAAAAATCAACTGTATAATTGAGTCTTTCAAGCTCATGTAAAAGAGGCTCTTTGAACCTTGGCGATATAAGAAACATTGCTACAGACTGGCCAATATATACCCAATCTCGGTATTCTTCGACGTCTCTGATGAAGGGTTTGTGTGATACTAGATTAACTGGAGTAGACCCGCTAAATAAAGTCAAGAGTTCACTTGGGTAAACAGTCATACAGTAGCTATCCAAATCGACGTCCTTTGGAAGATCTTCAAGTAGCCTGATAGTTGTAAATATGGATGTATATAAGCTGTATCATAGAAGTACCTTTTTGCATATGCGGTACGACTTTTTTGAGGATAATAAGGGTCTGAAGGAGATTGCGTTTGGCTGTGTTTTATTTCATCTTGAGCTACTCGTTGCGAAAACTCCTCTAATGACATTGCTTATAAGGATTGAAAGAATGAATTACCGATATTTTGTGGTATATATCCGGGAGTAATATTATGATAACCAACAGACAGTAAATGGCTAAGGTATTATCGTGGTATAGTGGTATTGTGGTTTTTCGAAAGTATGAAGTGAATTACTTGTGAACGTTGCGGATGATATCTCAGGGTCATTTAAACCGCAATTTAAAATTTTTCTTCAGTTATAGTAGGATTGGGAGCTGAGGTAGGGATGTCTTCAGATAAAATGATTTAAACCGTAGATGGTATAAGGTGATATTCGGTGGGACTTGATTGACTAGCTACCTCAAGAAAAGCCCTTGGTTGAATTGAATGCCCGATTAAATAAATTACTATAACGGAATGATACTGTATACTGTATATTACAAATCTCAGCAGAAATAGATAATAAGCTAGATTTGCCATACAAAATTGTGAATATAATTATTTTGCTTTAAGTATTACAAAATAGCCAATATCTTTTGATTAAATAAAGGTGTTTTGGTTTTATGAATATAAAACACGTTAATTATTAATACTTTGAACGATATTTCACACCTTAAATCTATCCCTTTGTAACAGGTTCCGCTGAACGCACGGTCCTCTCGTACCTACTGCGTGTAGTGTTTTATTATCACCTTCGTACCTAACAACAAAATGACACTGAATGTAAATGACCCTGACTGTCCAGTGCCTACACCTAAACTCCGACAGGTAGTAAGTAACGTAAAACTTGGAGTTGCTGTACTTTTGTTATTATTAGGGTTAAGTCGAATATAAAACAGCAATCGCGTGCAATTCTAGTTGGCAAGCTAAAATATGAAAGGGACCCCAAAGCTGAACCAAATACAGTTTACAACTGGTGACCGCCCGGAAACGAGCGTTTGCATGAATTGTGACGGGAGGCGTTAAATAGCCTATTGGGGTTATTGAGAGTGTAAAAGTGGCCTGTCTTAATGTGAAGGCCGCACCTTCCGTTGTTGCTGATTTGGAATTAACCACCTATGACGTCAGACGATATGTGCACCTGAAATTGCCCAATATGGGTGCAATAGACGTCCATTTGGCACCACTGGATTTTTTGCCGTGTAGTATATAGTAAACTCTCTTTGTAGGCTGGAGTTCGTTCTGATGTGTGCGAGAACGCTGATAGTTTGATCAACTAGACAAATGGTGCAATTTCTGGATCATTGAACAGTAACACACGTGACAAAAAGAATGCACGAGATGAGCAGGGGCTGCGGAACAGACTTAGCCTTTCTATTGCAAGTTTTCCTGGGTCGTTGACGAGCAGCTAAACATGCTATCCATGACGTCATTAGTTGATTAGCGAAGACGATCTCAGGCACCAGGATACTTCAGGAGAAACGATATTTTAAAAATGCGAGTAGTCTAATAAGAAACACTACAATAGAATTTTTGATTGTTATTTCTTGGATGTGTCTCATATACTGGGTCTATGCAGACTTTCGGATAGCTAAAGCAAACTTCCCTTGGTGCTATACTTGATTATCTGGACTATTTGAAATTACTTCGTTTCAATCTTTCGACCTTACCCTCCTAGTCCACTACACCTAGAAAATAATGTCTGGTCCATTAACCAATTTTTTTTATTTGCACGATCTTGAGATTTTCGCTATGATCGCTAGTAATTCACTTAATTCATTTGTTGTTCCTAAAAACTACTTGTAGCTTCAGTGTTTGGCAGTCTGTTGTTTTACCGCATCAGCACTTCCGCCTAAATTCACCTATTATCATCATACACCGATTACCGTCTATCGTTCATTTCATTCTCAAACGATGGTACCATACCCCTTTCGATATCAAGTAGCTCACGAGGAGATGGAACTCAGCCGATACAAATCCCCTTCGGATCCATATATACCTCAACAGAGTCGCACCGAATACGCACAAAGGTACATATACGATGCAGCTTACATAGACTCAAATTTACCAATTATCAGGCTTCTTAGATGTCTTCCTAAGCATATCGATATAGATAGCTACTATATGACAGTTTACCCTGGTGAGCTCTTGGCTTTGTTTAATGGCTCTGCTACAGTTGGTCTAGTATCACACAAACCTAGCATCAGAGACGTTGAGGAATACGAAGGCTGGGTATATGTTGGCCATTCTGTAGCAATGCTCCTTATCGCTCCGAGATACAAGGATGGTCTTTTTCGTAAGCTTAGAAGTCTCAACTACGCGATTGAGCTTGCTCCGTATAGATGCGCTTTCATTAAAGGAGGTCGAATCACTTTGATGTCCATTCTTGTCCATTGCTTTGTCCATTGCTTGGAGGCGATACGTTGTAATGCTGTTAGAATTCAAGCCCACGGTTTAAAGCTCCTATTAATCTTTCAGAAGAACTTCTTACTTTTCATTCGCCACTTCCATATCGACACACTAATTCATTTGATATCGGTGTCACCGAGAGACCAGATATTACCCGCCTAGCTCTCCTCAAAGGAGTAGGGCCACTGGCAGTAACGTTTCCCATCTGTGCTCCAGCTGGAAAAGGCTATGGTACCGTTCGCTTGGAAACAAAAGTTTGCAAAAATTCATAGACCCTCTCGCACTTAAAGACCAAATGATAGAGACCAAAATGTATTCAAAAGTAGCACATGTTATCAAATCATTTGGATGCAAGTATCCTTAATTCAAGGCGACAACTATAAATGTATCAAAAAAGAGATATAATTCAGCTAAGTAAACCTTTGAAAAAATCCGCAACAAATCTGATGAAGAAATTCAAGGTTTTCGCATTGAAGCGACAGTATACGCAACAAATTTAACTTGGGCATTACAGATAGTGGACAATCACAAGCTTCTTGATAGTCAGACTGATGATTAGCGCTACGAATTAACTGACTGCCAAGAACTGCATACGTCACCAATGCACAAAGATTGATAAGTAAAGTACAGGATTTTCAGGATTTAATATACTGAGAGGTTCTTGGTCTGCTAAAGCTTTAAATAGAAAGAATGAGGTGGAAGCAGATGTTTGACAGTCTGTCGGTTGGAACAATTCCAGAAGAAAACTTAGTAAACACAACGACGTTAACGCTTGGTGGAACGACCACATCACAAACTGGGAGCTCGAAAAGAGTATCAGGTTCGTCGGGGATGTTTTCTTTAGTGAAACTACAAATTGTAAAGCTTTTTTCAGATTTGTGAGAAGTAGACTAAAGTGCCCAAATTGCGGTGGAATAAACATGTGAAATTTGAGCTTACCAGATGTTGTACATCAGTTTATTAGATTATTTAATGAGTTTTCACTGCTACCGAAGATATTAGCGGACGTCAGGAACCGGAAAACATAAAATCGGCCAAGAACAAGTAGTTGAGAATTTATTTATGTACATCGGACTTGTCCCTGTACGATCATGACCTCACCTTTAAAGCAACTATTATTTCCGAAACTCACTTTAGGCGTTATTGTAGCTTTATCATTAGTCGTAATGTCTGTATGGGTTGGTGATGCTGGCTTCTGGATGGCCACATGGGGTGCTGGTATCTTTGTAGTCAAAGGAGGTGATACAATCGTCCATTGCAGTGGTACAGAGGCGGACTCATTAAGATGTATAGTAGATGCTTCAACTACTGTTCTGAGTGGTTTCACAACTATTCTTGGGGGACTGGGACATAGTCAAGGTTGGTTCAAGGGGTAGTGCGAAATAGCATCGAAGTATATTAAAATCGATTAATTTAATCTTATCTTTGAGATCTGTCTGTTTGAGGACTTCATAAGGCTTGTAGATAAGGTTTTGAGCTGTAAGTGACCGCTTGTCACTTGTACAAACCAACCAGCCAGTTTGATGAAAGTGTGAATTGAATACATTGTCGCTTTTCCACACCTCGATCGCCTCAGATGCTAGATGTGCATAAAGAGGGTCAGCATACTCGGTTCTGACAATCTTATTGAGATCATTCCCAGCACTGATAAGTGACGGATATGCGTGCTTATCGAGACCGGTTACCTTATAACCTCTACCTGGTGTACTCATAAGCGCATATCCAATCAAACAAAAGACTCACGAGCTAACTCCAAGCATGTTGAACTTCCGAATGTCCCTCCTGCCCCTATAACTATAACGGATTTTGATTGAGTCATATGATTGATAGTAGTCAACTAACGTCCGCTGATAGCGAGATAATTATAGATGCATGAACGC